ATGAAATTATAATATTTTCAATCAATTATAATTTCCTCTATTAAATAAAATAGAATTTACTAAATCTTTCATAATAATTTTGTTTTTCTGCTCACTGATCTTTAGATAAAAATATATTGTACATGTACATAAAATTATTATTATTTCCCCGTTTTCACTGGTTAACTTTGAGTAAGTGAAGACGGGCTAGAGCCAAAGAACCGCAGTCACATCTTTTGGGGTAGGATATGGAAACCAACTTTCTGTTCTTAAATTTTATAGAGCTAACAGTACTTCAGAAATATATCTGGGCATCAAGTTGATCATTCCCCAGCCAGAACTGAATTTGGTAAAATACCTGCAAAAAGGTGGTGTCTGGTAGCAGCAGCAGTTGGAGGGATTGAAACGAGGTTGGAAGTTATTGTGTAAACAGTCATTAATGTTATGCACAATAAACACCTTCAGTGACACCAATATGTACACATATTTTTTTTAAGGTGAGGTTTAAGGATATAGACTTAGTCAAGCTATATAAATAAATAATTATTTCATTGATGATTTAAGTAAAAATACTTTTTTTAATAGAAATATATTTCCCATAAAAAAACACAATAAAAACAAATTTAACAAAAGAAATAAATTTAATTTTATTTTGATACGCTGCTGGGCTGTAAAATATTCACTCAAAGGAGGGATTGTAACACACCATTAGAAGGGAAATGTTGTCAGCTTCAAAAATTGTCACTTGAGTGAATAGTTTTCGAGAAATGTGAAGAAAGTTCCATCACCCACACAGCGCGGCAAAGTTTAAATTCGGATTCAACAACCCAAAAAACATAGATAATAAAAAATAATTTTTCTTTCATAATTTTGTCCTTAGGATTAAAATCTGCATCATTAAGGTATAGTGAAGAGGTTGAAATGACGCAGATTGTAAAAACCAAAGTAGTTGCGATAACGATTATTCGTAAAATTGTCCATAACGCGAAAAAAAATTAGTTAAATATAATAGGGAAATTAGAATAGTGAAATTTACTGTGGACAATACTTCAATAAAAAATAGCGTTTTTTGCTAAAATTCGCGGTTATATTTTTAACTAGTTTAATTTAATTATGAATAACTTAATTACTTATCAGTACAACTAACAAATAGTTTTCATTACCTACGTTATTATTTATTAATAGTTTTACCAAAACAATATAACTGAACTGAATATATATTATAGTATACTAATTTTAATGTAAAAGGATATTCATTTTAATGTGTAAAATAGTTTAAATTTAAAAGAAGTACAAATTGTACTTTATGGGTACGTTACAGAAAATAAATGGATTTTCAAATACAAAAATATTATTGTTATAGTCTTAACTCCTGTTCTTTTAACATGGTTAACTGGTCGGACACGCACCACCAATCCTTCCTATCCTAAGCTATTCTTCGTATTTTCCTAAAACTAGAACATTGCACATCCTTAACCATTTGCGAACAATAATCTGATCTAGGTCTACTTCTCTTAACTCCTCTTTCTGCCTCTAATATGTCTCTGATTAGACCTTCATGCCTGAGAAGGTGTCCTACCAACCTATCTCGCCTATTTCTTATTGACTTCCATACAGTTCCCTGTTCTCCTTTCTAATACCTCTTCATTTTTAACCTCCTCTATCCTCGGCATCCTCCATATTCGTGGCGTGACCGGTAGGCCCATGAAAACCAAAACGGTTTTTAATGTAACCAACAGACAAATCTGTGCCAATGTAACCATACGTACCTAGATACATTATTGTACCACCTACTTTAATTCAATTAAGAAAAAAGGTTTAACATTATAAATTACCTTTTAAAACTTCCATGTATATCTTAATTTGAATTTGTATATGAATGTAAACTGTATTCATGAAAAAATTGATGTTATTTTGAATTCATTGAAATTGCAGAAGTCATGTCAAGAACTCTAAAGGAGAAGGACGGTGAAATGCTGACTGACAGTAGGCACTAGCGGTCTATTGCGGTCAATCCCCTTAATAAATGACACCGAATCCTTTTCTGTTTACCGATTGCATCCACGAATAATGAAATTTTTAACCGCGAACACAGGAACTGGATTGCAATCTTTTCACTCGCGAATAATGAAAATGCGAATAAGGAAACCGTGAATAAGGAACTTTTACTGTACATTAAAACTAAATATGTATTTGTCCAACTATTTATTTCGCGTTATAGTCAATTTTATTAAAATAGTAATTACTACTACTATTTTAGTTTTTACTACTGAGAATAGTCCTATTTCCTCCACGTTTTTCTCATCCTAAACAAAGTATCTTACCAACGATATGCCAGACGTCTATCAAACAAAAAAACTATTTGCTAATCGCTTTATATAAACTGTAGATCAGCCTTTTCTTGGTTTGAGTATTGGCCCAATAAAAATTGTCAGTCACTGTTAACTATTAATGGACCAGTTCTTCGTCGTATTTCTGAGTCTGCAAATGTCTGGTAAACCCTGCTTAGGAACTTCTTTTTCTCGCAACCGATTTACTTCAGCAACATTTGTATCAGCATGCGGTACCTGCCTGTTCGGAAATCGTGCTGCATATTCGTGCAATGCCGCCAGTGCATTCTCATTGCAGCGTCGATACGTGGTCATCATGATCTCAAATGCATTGTTTTTTACTTATATTTGTATTTTGTGGTAATAGCAGTAACTTTGCCAATCAAACAGTAACAACTGAGTGCAGGCTCCTACTAATCGTCACACGTGCAATTGACCTGTTCGTGTACCAGCTGTTTCGAAAGTCATGAGTAGGTATGTGTGTTTCGTCAATAACGAAAAGTCCGCTAATTAACCATTGTACAATCACTGACAGCTTGTTAACTGGGGCACTATTTCTTCATACTTTTGACACTTTTTATACTTTGTTGTGGCACTATCACGAGATGCACTTCATCGTGCATCCAGATGTTACCTTTCAAATATTCCGAAATACTGATTAGACACAATGTATATGTGTACAGTCATAATAAAAGTTAAAGTTAGAAAAGGAGATAACTGAAAAAATACCCTAAGTGAAACGAAATTTGTAGGTATGTTCGGTATTCACCGTATAATATTAAGTTTTATGATTATCTATTGTTGGAAGTAAAATTTTGTTAAATTGTCAATGTTTAATATAGCGTAGCAACCCCTTTCAGTATTAACCTTTTTAATTTATAGTATGTGTATTATAGCAGTATTAGCATCTAGCAAGGAGATAGCTTTGAATAAAATGGAAGCGGTACTGACAGATCAGTACTGTATGAAAATAAATAAAAGTAAAACTAAAATACTGATATGCAAGGGAAGAAAAAATAGGGAAAGAGCGAATATAAAGATAGGAGACGCAGAATTAGAAGAAGTGGCTGATTTTAGATACCTAGGAAGTCAGATAAGTGAGGATGGAAGGAGTAGTAGGGATATAAAGCAGAGGATAGCGCAGGGTCGTGTCGCCTTTAATAAAAAGAAGTCACTTC